AGTATCGGCGTCGGCTTCGGAGAAAAACGTGGTGCACGTGGAAGACGCGCGGCGACTCGGTCCACGACTCGAGAATGAGCGGCGTGTTTGTGGGGCTCTGCGTGGACTCGATAAACACGCGGTGGCCGGGTCTTACGAACGGCCATACAAAAAGCAGGCCCGGGGCCACAAGGTAGAGACGGTCCCCGGCGGCAATGTCGTCGTACGAGTTGACGAGGTGGCCATTGCCCGTGTATACGCGGTCAGCTACCACTGGCGTCGCGTGGTTAGCGAGGCCTTCGACTTCAACAAGCGTCGAGAGATAGGCGGCGAGCGCGACACCCGACGGCACGAGCGCCGGAGGGAGCGCGACGGCGATGCCGTTGGTGGACTTGCCGTTGGCGTAGACAGTGACAGGCTTGTGATGCGGTGTCGACGATAGCAGCCATTCATAGGTTGCCGCTGGGTCCACCGAGTACGCGAGCAGTGCCATCGCCGCCGCGATGTACAGCCACGTCGTCGTTGCCTTGATGCCCATCTCTCGATGTTGTCGACGAACTTGCCAAATGACATGCGCGCCGTTCGAAGCAGCACGTGTAGCCAATCAGCGGCCGTGAATTTAGAGCCGCCACGAATCCAACTGCAAGCGTCGACGGCAGTGTGGTACAGAGCACATTCGAGTTCGCTGGGATTCTGGCGCCGCAGAGCAATAATCCTAAGAGTAATACCCGCCAAACCACAAGTGTGACGTAGACGGCAGCCCCTACGTCACCGATGTTACATGACCACCATTGACATAATATGTCAATGGTGCGCAGCGGTGGGCTCGAGCCCACCGCTGCGCACGACTTAACATGTAAGTCAAAGCAGTGCATCTCTCCCAAGCGCGTGCTACGAAACGGTCTGCGCGCGCAGAATGAAGAATCGAGTCCATTTTTTTGCTTTCAAACCACCATGACCTCTTGGTTAGTTCCCCATGTACTGACATGCCCGCTTCTTCCACCGAGGCATTTGCATCGAATCACTTCAGAGTGTTTTGCATGCTCTTGAAATTTGCCGTGTCTTAGGACAGCCCAAATGGGTCATCGACGATGAGACTCTAGCAAGTTGCTAGATTCTCCAATGCCTACCTCGATAAATGCAACACTACACACTACACACACTACTCGCGAATTGTACAGTATGTGGCAGTAACATTCTTGCAGCCGTGACAACGAAGCGAAAGACGATCGTATCGATCAAGGCCGAGCGATATTCGTCTTCCTAGTGACAAGAGTCTTCAAACATCTTTATTGCGGACCCTTGCCAATGCTCGTCACGTATCACAGGACGCCCTTAGGGTGGATGGTCATGGTTGAGCAACTTGTGAAGTGATCGTACCTGTCTGTACCCTCGAACCCTCGAGCTCATCCTTGGAGTCTCATTACCCTTTCGGCGCGATAACACGTCATTGCTATCTCCGCCCCCGAAGAGGTTTTGCATACCCAGCCTGCGGCGTCAGGTTATGCTCCATGTCCTGCTCCGTAACGTAAAGCGCCAATTAATGGTTTTTTCAAATTCGAAGTACGGTTAAACTGAATTTTCTCTTGAACGAAGAATCGGATTCTGGATTTGAAAAGTGATTCGGATGTAAAATGACGTTGGCTACACGTAGAGCCCAAGAAGGCTGCGGTTCGTGCAGAAATGCGGACGTAGTGAAACGCAGCGTGCAAAAGTGATCAGAGCCAGATAATGGTTTTTCAAACATACTTGGTTTTTGTAATAAAAAAGTTCGAAAAAAAACGAACTATTTTCCTTCGACCAGTATATGTATTTTGACAGGCATTGATGCGTTATGCAAGGTTATTTATTGCTAGGGTGCCAGAGCATGAAAACTTGAGTACCACATTATAGAGATCAGCGAGCGTTGGCTCCATCGGATCTGGCTCGACCTTACGATCTTTGGGCTGGTTTTGCGCTTCTTCGAGGTATTGGCTTTCTCCTTCTATGCTACGTTGAACTCACAGATCTATTAGACCTCGAGAAGCTCCCCGGCAATGCGCACGCGCTTCGGGGGATCGTTTGGGACCGTCAGCACGTTGTCGCGGATGTGTTGCCGTTCGCGAATCCATTCCGGCACCTTGTACGGCAGAAAAGTTCTCTGCCACAAAGACGAGACGACCGCGCTTGAGATACAATATCGAGCACCACTGCGCGTCCGATCGTTGTCGCGTCGTCTTTGAAAATGACATGGTGCTGAAGATACCATGCTCTTTTGGACTGAAATACCGTTCCTGGTAAGGTACATGTTGATGCTGCGACGCACGGCGCACTTGAACGGCGAGAACACATCGGTGTCCAGCGGATGGACAAGTTGCGTGGCGTTGGCTGGCAACAGAAAAAGCAGAACCTACAGAAGTTTAGCCTTGCGGGCGTAGAATAGATTGTACCCCGAGCGACGACGCCAAGACTATAGCATGCTCCGAAACGTGGCTGGAGCAACCGTTTATCACAAGAAGATGATCGGCCGTTCGACTTCATCCGGGACGCTCTGATGATTGCGCGCTCGAGGAAGGTGCCCTTGGACCTCTTGCACTTCATGAAGAAGATTGGGAAATGAGCGCATGGATGCTCGAGAGCCATTCCTTTGTGCTCCTGCTGCACCAGCTCTCTGCCAGCCTGCATCCCTCTCCCGCATTTTGGCGCGAAAGATTCTGGCCCTCGACGCGCCATTTACGTCTACCTCTTACAATTGATCGTATCGAATGTACAAAGGTATAAGCTAGGCACAGTATATTTTGCTTCTTCCTGATTGGTCAATCCAAAAAACCATTATTTGGCTCAGAACCATTATTTGGCGCTTTACGTTATCGGCCGTCGACTTGCCACAACACACGACGACCTACCCATGCATGCTGACACTGAGGTAGATTTAGCTCTCGGCAGCTCTAGGACGAACGAGCTTTCATGATGGGGCATGGAAGGACGTTTACTGGCGCCATCAACCTGAGCGATCCACTGGCGCGAGCGAGCTCCTGAATACCATTATTGTCGAATACACGCCCTGACAAAATTATTCTGATATGCGGCAAGCGGTGCGCTGTGCAGTTTCATCCTCAGCCTGAACCCACACCGCAAACATATATACACGCGCCAGGTGCTGACCAATCAATCGCCCACGTTATCGAGGTTATGGGCAGGGCCCACCGTATTTTTGCGAAACGCAAAATACCCTCTCTACGAAGGCTGTGGACGGCATTCGCAGACTTGCAGTCGTGCGAGACTGGGCGTGAGATCAAGCGAAGCGAGAAGGTCAGCGCTCCAGAATTCGCGGGGACGGAAATCCTCCCATCTTTTCGCACCCGTCGACGGAATAGGACGCTAGCGTGCCCAGCGTCCTCTGGCCTTGTGCACTGAGAGGAACCAGCGCAGTGCACGCCGAGAGACGTGTAGCAGCTGTAGATGCAATCATTGCATCTACAGCTGCCGGCGCCATTGCAATGCCATGGCGCCGGCCACAGGGCAGTCAATGGCTCGACGTTCGCTGTCTCCTCTGGCGCATCTGCGGCTGCAGCGTCATGGTTATTCTAATAGAGCAAGTGGCTTGTAGCGTGCGCCACGCTTTCCTCACTGCGTATCCCTACCCCTACAAAGACCTAGCCCTAGGCTGCATAGCCATGGCTCGGGCTACGATCGGCGCCATCGGATCTTTGTCCATGTGCGTGGTTTCTAATTAATGAGTCTGCCTCCACGAGTCTGCCTCCAAGACGTCGTGTCAACTGCACTTGTTCGAGACGGTCTTTTCGACCGTTCACGCATGGGTGCGTCATGACCAGCGTATGACGCAGTGTGTACCCGGACGATTGTCTGCGCTATTGTGCGATATGCCGTCGCACGTCGGCACCAATGCGATGGACCGTGTCCGTTGCTTTGCCAGCGACGGCCGTGCGTCAGTGTTGCGACATTAGGATTGCAAGACGTTGGTCGACGATCACCCGTCGCTTTGCTGCATTACCAAGGTGCCCATTGCATGGACACGCAGCGGGGCGTGCGCTTTTCTGTGGCCGTTGGAGCTAGATCGCAACGGCTTCTTCAAGTAGCCCACCTTGGACACCGCTCTTGGCCACGTCGACGAGGAGCGCGCTGACACTAGACGCGTCACCGTGAGCATGGCACCATCCGCGCTTGCGTGTCGTACCGGGTGGCGGTCCACGTCGACCAGAAGGTTTCCACGCGCGGCAGCACGGACGGGTGCAGCACGAGGGCAAAGATGGCATCGTTGCCGCCGGCTACAACCAGCCGATGCATCAACCATATCCCACGCAATCTCGAGTCTCTACCACCGGGCACGCCGCCAAAGAGCACACCGGGCACGCGCATGGTCGCGTCAATCAGCGCGGTTTGCTCCTCGGGCTCGATCGCGACGCCTGCCGCCGACCCCATCGTCCTACCATTCAAATAAGATACGCGGGTCGTCGGGATCCAAGGCGACGCACCGCAAGAGGTGGCGAATCTCCTCGAATGTCGCGCGCATTGCGAGCAAGGCGGCACCGAGCACCGCGTTTAGGTGCACCCACTAGTCAATTCATGGCGCCATCCTATGTGGGGAAGTGCGGCGTACCGAGGTCGACGGCGCTTCGGCGAGGCGCGCCCAAACATCGTCGGCCACCGCCGGGAGGGCTTCAAATTGGGCGACGATCTGCATGTTCTTGGCGTTGAGCGTTTCCCAGAGCGCGTGCGAGCCTGCCGGGTCGGCTTTCTTCCACGCCAAGACCTACGCGGAGCATACAACATCTGCGTCACTACATTCGAGAACGTGTACCTGGCGGACCATCGAGACCGTGGCCGACCCGGCGTTGACGTCGCCCATGATCATGTGCATGTTGTGGGGCAGCCCAAACGCTTTCTAGCATCGCGTCGTCTTGGAGCTTCACAAGATAAAAAGATCAAGGTAAGAGCGTACGACGACGTTGTCCCAGCGCGACTGGATGCAGGCGGCGAGGTCGGCCGGTGCGATCGCCGACAGGTTCTTCTGCGCCACAAACGATTGGACGCGTTCGGGCGAAAAGCGGTTGTAGCACTGGTTGCCGTACGCCGCGGCCGAGACGTCAAAGCCACTGCCAATCTAATCGCACATTTTTCAAGCGGCAAGAGGAGCGCGATGGCACGCACCTTGTCTTGCGCGATCGAGTGCGCAATCTGCGCGAGGTGGTGCACGATGTCGACGCCGGGCGTCGCCGCCGCCGACTGCGCCGTCGGAAGCGTGACTGCACCAAAAAAGCGCAAGACGGCACCGACGAGCGACGTGATAAGCGCCGCCGAGCTGCCCATGCCCGTCTTGGCAATGACCGGAGTCCCTGGACAATGCCATCATGAGCGCAGGCGCCAGAAAATTGGGATGAACCAGAGGCGTCCAGTGGGCACGGAAGAAAGGCCGGGAGCTTGGCAAGGTGCTCGCGCGTCACGGGCTGGCCGCGCTCGAGTAGCTAATGAAATCGTGTCGACGAGGCGGAGGAAATGCGTGCCTCTACCTGCGCACTTTGCGAGTAAAAGTCATTGTCGGCTTCGAGCGTAATGCGCAGCGAGTGCGTTTTCGCCAGCGACGCCAGCTTGGCGCCGAACGCCGGGCCAAGAAGGCCGTGCAGCGCCTTGGCACACACCTGCAGCGTCTTCTCGACGTACGGGTTGGCCGGACTCTGCGGCCTACACGAGCAAAGACGCGGTCGTGATGCGCTGTGGCGACGAGAGCGACAACGTACGAGAGCTCAAAGGCGTCGGCCGAGAGGACACCGGTCAACACTTGGTGGAACTGCGGGCTGTGCACAGTCACCGCCAGCGCAGGCGACGGCGTCACCGACGCATCGAGCGAGACCGTCGTGTGGAAGCGAGAGCTAGCGGCGAGAACGGCGCCAGCGTACTGCGGCTCCAGCACCAAGTAGCCGCCAGCGATCAAGACCTTTCCGGGCGCCGAGACGCGCGTCATCGTCGTCGTCGTCGTCATTGCAATTCTACGTATCCGGAGGCACCAAAACCGGTCGCGAAAAAGAGGTTTATCCCAAAAACCCAAAAACCCAGTGCAACGAAGTTCAAACCGCCGTCCACGAGTTTTGCCTCGAAAAGAAAGAGGTCGATTCGTCAGTCGCAGTCCAGCTTGCGTGCAAGAAGGAAGCTGTACAGAGAGCGAGAGTGGTGGACGGGGCTTTGACCTTGGGATTTGGCTGCTTCACAGCGCTATCATGGGTATACTGGTAGCCGTTGCGAGCAGCCACTGCGGATATACCAAGACGAACCTTGCCTTGGAGGCACCTCACTGGTTGGCGCCACCGTAGAAGTGGCGATGAGGGTCCACGGTTCTGCACTTGATGTGTGCTCCGTACAGTAGACTTGTGCGTCTTGAAATGGCACTAGAACGAGATGCGCAGGAGTCGAGTGGCAGCCAAAAGTTTCGCGCTGACTCCGTGGCTCTCTTGCATCCTGAGCCAGCAGCTTCAACCAGCAAGCATGCGCCCGGAATATGCTCAGAGTGGTTTTTGCCTCTGCATGCGTTCCAGCTCGGAAACATGCAACTTCTTATAGTGTTGAAGCGGATCTGCCGCCACGGTACCTCGCTGCATATTACGGCGCACGCACGCAATATGGGCATCAGACGTGGGTGTAATTGTGCGGTAGGACGGTGGCGAAACTTGCCCTATTTCCATGCTGCTGCCCACCGCAGAGGCGCTTACAAGTGGCAATATCAGTAGCCACAGTGAGAGGAACCCATGAAGAATACGCGCGGAGTCCAACCGCATTCATGGCACGGAAGCTGATACCAATTCGCATCACGTCAGAACGCAACTCGCCACCAACTACCGAAAGCCAATCACGTTGGGTCAAAGTGAGCTAATATATGTACGATGTGGTGTTTGCATGACCATCCTGGGACTTGTACTCATCAAATCCGGAACGACGTCATGGCCCGTTGGTACCGTAGTCTCATTCATGGCTGTCCTCTTCTGGGGCAAAACCCGCCGCGTCCCAAGTTGCTTGGGATAAACGCTTGGGACAAAAACCGTGTGGGATGATGGACGACACATTTCTGCCATTGGATTGGTGAAAAAGCGGCCAACCAAACAGCGTTTTTCGCGTGCGACGGTCACGGATTGGCTGCATTCTAAAAAGACATTGATTCGCTATAATCCCAGTAGAAACCGCATTTGATTGGCTGTATATTTCCTTCGCGGTTAAATCTGACCTACACAGCAGCGCCAAGCATGATGGCAGGCCGGGCAGGGAAGCGCAAGGCCATGGTCGACGACTCGGACTCGGACGACCCGCGTAACATGGCCCGCGAAGACTCGGGCAGCGAGGAAGAGGCCGCTCCCGTGGCCGCCAAGTCCTCTTCGGAATGGGAGGCCATCGTGAACGCCGAGGTCAACGAGACGCTTCCGGCCGCGCTCCAAATGTGCGTGTCCAATGCAAAGAAGCAGCGTCAAGACCTCCTGAAGCGCGTGCTCGAAGGCGCTAAGGCCACGGAGCACCTCGTCGCGACGGTCAAGGACATTGGCGACGACAACCAGATCGAGGTCCTCAAGGGCGTCACGACCAACTTTGTGCAGCTCCACGGGCGCATTAGCGCCTACGAAAAGAAGCTTGATGGTCTTAGCACGGCGCTCCAGTCGGGACGCGTCCCACCGACGTACCGCGGGACGCTGAACGTGTCTTCGTCGCGCGTCTCGGACGCGCAAGTCATGCAGCACGACTTTTACAAGCGCTTCTGCGGCGCGGCCGGGGTATCAAGCACTTCTGCTGGCAGGCAGTATGCGTTTGTCTTGTAGATTGAAGAGGAAGGCGACGATGACGATGTGGATGTGCTCGTCCAAGAGACCGAGGCGGCCAACACCATCACGTGCCCGATTACGCTGTTGGAGATGGTCGAGCCCATGCGCAAGTTCGTGTTTCAAGGTTGCGAGGTCACACCGTATTGACGTCTCTTCCTAAATAGCAAGCGCTGTGGCCATACGTACTCGAAGGCTGGCATCACGGCCCACCTCAAGCGAAAGAACGCCTGCCCCATTGGCGGTACGCTGCAGTCTGCGTGTGATCCATTAGCGATGCCGGCTCGTAGGCTGTCGCGAAAAGGTTGGTCTCCACGACCTCGAGCGCGATGTCGAAATGGAAGTCCGCATTGCGAGGTACTGCTGTATATCTATGCGTATAAGTGCTCTCAACGCCGAGGCTCTTGATGTAGCAACCGCCGCGCGCG